GTAAATTAAATATATAATAATAAATTGTGTTTATTTGTTTTAATTAACTGATTTAATAAAAAGTTGGCTCAACTCCTTACCACTTGGCTTGTTTTTTGCTTTAATGATAAATATCTAAGACAAAAACATCAACATGATAATAAAGCCTTTTAAAAGTTGATATCATTTCTTATTCCCTTTTCTCCTTTCTACCTTTTTTCAAAAATAAAAAAAAGAAAGATCAAACCTTTTAGTTTGTTCATCATCAACCTCCTAAATTTCTTTTTTTTATATATCATATATACAATCAAATTTTTTAGTAAAAAAAAGTTTGGCCAAAATCTTATCAGACAGCCAGAAATGCTTGTCTGTTCGCACGTGTAGCATGAAGATGCTACAGAAAAACCTCTATATTAATGTTAACATACATATATAACAGTTGCGCGAAACGATCATCAATGTTTCTTCCAAAAATTTTTGGTGTGAATTTTTGCAAAAAAAAAAATATGACAAAGATGGTGGAGTTGAAATTTCATCTAGGACACATTCAGAAATCTCTATGAGCTTATAATTCTCTCCAGAGTTGCTGATGTAAAGCCACCGTGTCTCTATAAAAGTGTTGCTCGGTGATGAGTTTCGTTCTACTATTTTTAGAAAAGATGACCTTCCACAGCGCAATACTGAAAACATTGCAGGAATAATAGCTTGGGAGTGTTTTTTCCGAAAATTGGACAGTTGAAGGCAAGATAAATCGACTTGATCGTATATAAATTTAAAATAATTTGCTGCCCTACATTAGAAACAAATGTAATGGTAGAAGTTGTGATTTCAAGAATTTGATCGAGGGAAAAGATAACCTACTGAATTCAGTTAAATAAGCGTAAACTATATCTCAAATATACTTGGGAAATAAATTGTGGAATCGACGTAAAACAAATTTTGATCATATTAATAAAAGTAGCATCGAGTTAGCAATCCTTTGTTATAAACGCATGCCTCAAATTATATCTTCTAACAATTGGAAAATATCTTCATTGACATTAATTAAACTTTTTAAATTAACATACGTTACAAGACAACCATTTTTCTTTAAATATTTGAAACTCTATTAATTACGGTGCATTATTAATATTATTAATGGTTGTTGTTGTTGTTGTACCATTAGTAATAGATGATAATTAGAGTTTGATGGCACCCGTAATGTAAAATTACGGTATTACAGTGTTGCAAAAATACAACATTGGTGAAACTAACCGTAATATTGTAATATTTATTATACAAATAAAAGTATGATCCTTTTATATCATTTCTCTTCTCCCACAAATATAATAACTAAAGATGGTCCAAAACATAGTGATATTTGGGAATAATTTACACGTGATAACAATCTTGGTAATGGTCATTACCAAGTTACGTGTAAACCATGTTTGTCATTTTTTAAAGATGCCCGACCATATCTTTTACACTCTCATGTTTCTCAACGTTCAAAAGCATATGAACTAACAAAAATGAAGTAAATGAATTGATTTTATAAAGTCAACATTTTCTAAACAAGGAAAAACTGCTGGACATTCTGGACAACGTCATATTGATGGTTATTTTTGTTCAGTTGATTTAGAAGAATCACGCATAAAATAATCGATAAAGCTTTGGTTATGATGTTTATTATGTGTGCATTACCTTTATACCTTGTAGAAACCCCGTTTTTCATTGATTTTTTAAAAGCATTCAATCTTGGATATCAACCACCTTCAAGAAAAGTGATATAGACGAAGATCCACATGCAATTAGATGATGAGTAGATAAACGAATTCGAATTTTTAATGTTTATATTTATAATAATATTAATGTTTTTAAAAGGGCCTAACTGCATCGTGTTTATGTTTCAACACTATATATAATATGTAAAGTTACGGGTATGTTGCAACATTACGGGTATGTTGTAACATTACGGGTATGTTGTAACATTGCGGTTTGTTGCAACATTTGATATTTGATTACGGAGGACAAGCTTAAATATAATATAAAATCGACAACCAATCAAATTTGTGTCAATTTATTATTTTGGATACAAAATTCTGATTGCACGAATTTCAAATTGACAATTTTCAAACAGATTGAATATATCTTCTTGGACAATCGCTTTATCATTATTAACGCTTTCATATGATCCTTTTTCTCCGCAACGTTTATATGTAGGTGTATTATTATTATCAGCATCAGAAGAACAAACATTATGATTATTATGTGGTGGTTAGAGATGAGATATTAATTAGTCGTAGCTTGTCTCAACCCGTTGAAATAAACTCGATTAAAACAAATTAATAGCCAAATAAAATAATAATATTTTGATCTTTATCATTTCTTATTGGGCGATGGTTCTAATAGAAGACTTTTTAGAACGGGAGTTTTATTATTAGTAACATGTTCACGTGATTTATGGGCAAACTTAACAATTTATAATTCCTTATCTGAGAGAAAAGACCAATCTGACTTCAGTTTTGAAAAACAAATAAATATTATGATAAACCGATAGAATGTATTAAATAATATCCTGTCGGGGAAACGGTTGTCGGAGAAACATCATGTCGTGGAAACGGTTGTCGGAGAAATGTGAGCAATTCTCTGAAAAATATGCTATGGTGGAAGGTTCAAGGTGGAATGGAAGCTGTGAATTGCATTTTTGGCTTTATTTGTTTTTCAAAGAGTCTATAGAAGTCTCTCTATGTTCAAACCCTTGTCCCTGAAAGGCAGCATTCACAGATCAGGCAAGGTTTGCTGAAAGAAGAGCATATACCAAATGTAAGACTTTGATTTTTAACCATCTATATCCACACCAATCAATCACAGTTATTAGATATGATATGGTATTTGACTTAAATGATTATTTATATTTTAAAGAAAGATATTTGTTTTATTGCAACATGCCCCATGTAAAAAATAGCTACTTTAATAGCAATACAACAATCACTCTCAATGTTAAAGACATATTTTTTTTCCTTTGAGAAAATGTAGTGATAAATTGTCCTAATTTCAATATAATATAGTCGCAGACATCATTGTTAAGGCGGGAAATTCTTTTTTAAAAAATGAATCGCTTTCAAATATAGATTCTCTTCGTTTGGCACCGAAATTCAATATTTGTAGAATTTTGATGACTTGATTTTAGAACGACAAATAACCTTGTACATTTTCAACATAAAATTCTCTGTATTTAAGATACCACATAAATATTTGGTTGCCATAAAGCTTGGCATTTAATTAAAACAGCATTCTAAATATCAATTAACGATTAAAAAGTAATTTATAAGATCAATATTTTGCGAGTTCTTCAAATTTTGACACAGTGCAAGCTAAAGCTATTAATTAATTATACAAATATTCAATATCTCTCCCCAATAATAAAAAATTAATTGCCAGACCTTCATATAATCACTCCGCCCATAAGAATTACACACTTTGACTGGTGCATTTTTCTCTACTGTGTGCATTTGCCATCAATTTACAAATTAAGAAACTTTTAATTTAAAAGACTATTCTGTGACACATAACTAATATTGGGTAACAAAAAAGCAATCAATCCATTTTTTCAATAATAATAATAATGAAAGTTTTGTATGTATGTGACACGAATTATTTATTTTTATTTTCATATTAAAAATTTTTTTTTTTAATTAGAAGAAATAGAGGGAGAATAAAGACTTTTTTATTGTTTCTTTAATAAAAATAATAATAATAACCAATTATTTGTTGCGGGTGAAAAATAAAAAAAAAATTGAAAGAAGAAATCTAAATAAATTCATATATAATTACTCCAATAATTCTTGTGTATATGTATAAAGTTGATAATAATAGAAACCAATACAACAACTACAAGAATAACAATTTACTTACATTATAATAATAGCTTCTTTCAAACATAACATTTAAATTCTTAATCCTCACTAATATTTACATCGCCACTATAATTAACTAGTTATTAATCCACCTACTTGCTGCCACTCCACTAATTACTTGAATAAAAATAATAATAATAAATAACAATAATAATAAAATGTCTGATATTGCAGAAAGAATAACAGTAGCCCGTAAAGAAGCTGAAACTTTAAAAGAAAAAATCAAGATGAAAAAGGATTCATTGGCTGATACATCTTGTACGTAGAAAGAAAAATTTTTCCTTTAAAAATTATCCTTCATAGTGAATTCTTTAATACTAACCTTTTTTAATTTTTTAATATTTTTCATAGTGACCACAATGGCAACAGATGTCGAATCATTACCAAGGATTGTAATGAAAATTCGTCGTACATTAAAAGGTCACTTGGCAAAAATTTACGCGATGCATTGGGCGTCAGATCAAAGGCATTTGGTATCTGCTTCACAAGACGGTAAATTGATTGTATGGGATGCACCAACAACCAACAAAGTTCATGCCATTCCGCTAAAATCTTCATGGGTGATGACATGTGCATATGCACCAACAGGAGATTTTGTTGCTTGTGGTGGTTTGGATAATATATGTTCAATATATAATTTGAAAACAAAAGAAGGTTCGGTCAAAGTTGCTAGAGAATTGGCGGCTCATACAGGTTATCTTTCTTGTTGTCGGTTCCTCAGTGATAGGCAAATATTAACATCATCTGGGGATATGACTTGTATTCTTTGGGATATTGTTGCTGGTATGAAAGTACTGGAGTTTAATGATCATACCGGTGATGTGATGAGGTAATAATGAAAATTTAATCGTTAGAATTTTATTTCTAACAATAATAATAATAATAATAATAATAATAATAATAGCAATGGTAAGAATAATGATCATAATATAATAATTGATTATTAATTATTTATTTAGTTTATCGCTTTCTCCAAGTCAACAAATTTTTGTTTCGGGTGCTTGTGATGCCACAGCAAAAGTCTGGGATATTAGAACTGGACAATGTGTGCAAACATTTACTGGCCACGAATCTGATAT